ATGTATATGTAGGGTTTGGTCCAACAAAACCTAGAGGTATGGAATTGATTCGCTATCAGGGCCAATAGGTCAGTGAACAGGGAAATCCATCAAAATTTTTCTCTTTTAAGCCACCAAATGCAGAACACTTCCCCATTTACAGTCCCTCTCGGCTCAGAATGGGACTCTAACCCACTCTCCCTCCCCCGTGCGTTTGATACAACAAAACATAGACATCCCTTTAGATCCCAGTTGTTACTATACTCGTACGTACCTGTTTTAACACATTAAAACTCTGCATTCTGCCCAGAGTATATCTGTGAGTTCTGTATGGTTCTCACAGTAAACAGCGACTGTTTCCTTAACAGTAGTAACCGTTGGGCTTTGTAGCGGAGATGTAATGTGTTTCCTGTGAGGTACGAACTGAATCTTTAATTATTTGTGTGTTCCGTATGGTTCTCACACCAAACAGAGACTCTTTCCTTGCATACTTTTAACTGGTTGGACTTTGTAGCGAGACGTAACGTGTTTCCTGTAAGAGACGAACTGAATATTTATGTATTGTTTCGAAGAAATTTAGTTTTTAAAGGAGATAGATTCTTGAAGGCTCCCAGTGCTGTCAGAGAGTAAAATGTGGTCATGAGTCCCGTGGGACTCGGAACAAAAAGTCACTGTGCTGGCGAGGACCAGCATGAATTTGGGAATAAATCAATAAAGGGACCTACACGATCATTCGTCCTGCTCAGTTTGAACCTGATCGAGGAAGAAAGTACCCCCGAAACGTCATCAACACTATTCACATCCACATAGTGCGAAGACCCGAGAGAAAAATAAGCATAAAAAATTAACAACCGCGAAAAATGAACTCATTAATGTTACTGCTTGGAAATTAAACTTTACGGCACAGTGCCCATATGTAATAGTTTAAGAGGCCAAATATATCCGAGTGTTAGAAGCAACAGACGAAATATATAGCTGAAAACTTCGTGTGTACTCAGAAAGCTATAGGACAAGTGTTTTATATATGTAATGCCATATACTGCGTTACATATGCATGAGTATCATATAAGTTATATTTATTAGCTAGCATAGGCAATAAGTTAAATCTCTATACAAACCTGCATAGTTTTATAGGGGTGTCTTAAAAAAACAAGAAGACAAGAGGCAGTGGAAGACGTGGTACCTCATTCTACAGATTAAACAACAATTTCAAGAAGGTCCTACCGGAATGTGACACAAACGGTTACATATAGACGGCATCTGCTTCTAACCCTCTGTTTTGGGGGAACAAATGTGGAAACAAATATAAAGCCTTAGCCATCACCAAGAGACAGAAGTTGAACTGAAACTTAGAAATACGAAATTATACGCAAATTAAAGATACAAAGACCAGAACAAATTTGTAAAGCATTCTCTGTTTTTGATAATTGAAGAATTATTTCAAGGAAATAGCGGCTCCGATGTAGAAAACGGAGATTAACAACCATAGGGATCCGTTGCGCTGACCACGTGATACCCTCTATCCGCAAAAGTTGACATTAACTTCGCCGACAAGCGGCGGTCTCTCGGTCAGTATAATTCGCTTGCGGACTAAAACCACGGAGTTTGTTTTGTTGTTTTCTTTTTTTGCATTCACTTGTAGCACTTCTACAACTTGCCTTTATTTGCTCTTCGACATAGTCACCATGGCTCGCAACGCACTCAGTGAGCCTGGGAACGAGGTCTTTTATTCCAGGGCTGTAGAAATCTCACGCCGGCTCTCTTAGACATGCAGAACAGATCTTGACACTACTGGACGTTGTTGATGAAGTTCATCGATGGTTAAATGTCTGTCAGCACGAAAGTTTCCATCATTTTTGGGGGATAATTTCGTCAGTGACAACGGATGGCCTTCATCATGAACATCACTTCTTCCCATTTCAAATTCATGACGCCATTTTGCCACGTTTTGCCTGTTCGTAACATCTTAGCCGTACACAGAAACAAGTTGGCAGCAGTTTCTCCTTTCGCGTGAAGAAATCGAATTACTGCATGAACATCACAATTGGCGGGATTTTGTATTGACACGGCCATTTTGAACACACACTGCGAGCACAAAGTTGCCGTGACTGTGCCGTGTCATACGGCTCCTATCTCACACGTCAGCACAGCAATTTGTATTTTTACTGGACATGTACTTCATACGTAGCAGTTTAAACCTGCGTTGCTATATTGTAGTAAATATACAGGGAAGAAAACATGTGCTGGACCGCTGAGAGAGATGGGTGGCTTGCATCTGACTGCTATCAGGTAGCACACGACGAATGACGGACGGATGAATATTCTCCACTGTCTTCAAACACAAAACGAAAAAATAAAAACTTTCTGTCTACTTGGTTTCAGATATCGCGTAACTAGGAGAGACACGCTTTGTAACTGAACGCTGAATAATGGCAGTGTGTGGACTCATCACAACTCCACACGCTGCTATTTCTGTTTCAGAGCTTTGAACCCTGCTCCTCTTTATTCTCATCGTTGTCGAAACCTCTTACGTTGACCTAACGAGGCTTTCTATTTCCTGAAGACTTCTATGAAAATGGGAGAAAATCTATGTTTCTCACCTGGCATGAATCTAATCCATAGGCGTCGGCGGGGGTGAAGGGAGGGCAAGTCAGGCGCCCCCCATTAAATTTTTGAAAAAAAAAATCGATTAAAACTGAAAAGAATAAGGACTTTACCAAATATTAAAAATTAAAAATATTTCTTAAAAAATAATATAATCTATCCTGAATATTCTACGCGAAAAGAGTAGGGAGAGCTCTGGATACGGGCTAAACGACCAAGGGATCGGAGTTCGAGTCCCAATAGGGTCAAGAATTTTCATTTCTTCGTGTCGTCCAGACCGGCTCAGGGGTCCATCCAACGTCTTATCCAATGGGTACCGGTAGTAAAGCGGCCGGAGCGTGAGGTTGACCACTAACCTCAAATTAGTCTCGAGGTATGAAAATGGTTGTCTATACATCCACTCCCAATGCGCTTTCATGAAGTAGTGCTTAATTAGTTAAGCACATGGACAACTTTACCTTTATTAGCTAGAAAAGCTTCAAACCGTTTAAGCCTAAACATGTAAGCAAACTTTACTGTAGCCCCCTCTACCCTTTAGAGAAAAACCTGGCACCTTATTTCGGGGTACGA